TCCATCGACTGACGAATGGACACGCAAAACGTGGTGTATCCTTAAAGGGGAGTCTTATTCACCCTCAGAAAGGCAGGAAACTGACATGACATAGATGAACCTTAAAGACACTATGATAAGTGCAATGACCCAGTCACAAAACGATAAATACTGTAAGATTCTTGAGGTCCCTAGAGAATCAAATTCATAGAGACGGAAAGTAGAGTGGGGGTGCCAGGCTGGGGGCGGGAAGGAATAGGGAGTTAGCATTTAATGGAGACAGAGCTTCGGTTTGGGAAGATGAGAAAGTCCTGGTTACGGTGGTGGCGGCGGCCACACAGCCGTGTGAATGTAACAGTGCATGGAACACTCAGCAAATGTCTATGCTGGTAAATTTTATGTTACGTGTATGTATTTTACTACCTTAAAAAAAAAAAAAAAACAGAAATGACATCATGAGGCCTGGGGAAACTTGAGTCCTGGTTTTTAGTATCTAATGGAATACCTGGTGGAACCTTTTATAAAATATTTCATTAAAGGCAGTTTTATCTTTGGAGGAAATCTGGATTTTCATATGTGAATTTGCTTACGGCTGCTCCACTGGTGTTCCAGCTTAGCTTTAGGTCTTTCTTATTTGTAGATGGGACATTTATTCACACCAAATATTCTTGATTTTGAAACTAATCAATGAGTCACAAGACTACATTGATACCTACCACAGGGCAGGTAGAGTGAAAGATACAAAAGCAGAAATAATGCGTATGTGTATGTGTTATGGTTCAAGGGCTGAACTGTATCTCCTCCTCTCCACATTCCTGTGTTGAAGCCCTAACCCCACTGCCTCAGAATGTGACAGTATTTGGAGATATTCTCTTTAGAAATTGATGAGTAAAATGAGGTTGTATGGGTGGGCCCTAGTCCAATATAACTGCTGTTCTTGTAAGAAGAGGCGACAAGGACACAGACACACACAGAGGGACGATCACATGAGGACACAGGGAGAACGTGGCCATCTATGAGCCCAGGAGAGAGGCCTCAGGAGAAACCAACCCTGCCGGTGCCTTGATCTTAGACTTCCAGCCTCCAGAACTGTGAGGCAATCAACTTTTGTTTAAGCTTTTTACAGACCCTCGCCCGTAGTATTTGTTCCAGTAGCCCTAGCAAACGAATACACTATTCCATTTCCAAAACACTCCTTAAATCCTTAAAGCAACCCTGCAAGGGAGGCCTCACTGCCCTCTGTTTATAGACAAGGAAATCAGGGTTCAGAAGAATGGAGTCACTCACGCAAAGTCACCCAGCTGGAGAGTGCCAGGCTGCCTAAGTCCTTGGCTTCTGACCCTGTGTGCTCCTTTGGAAGTTCTGCCCCGTGGGTGGGAAGAGCATGAAAGTACAGGAGTCCCGTCTATCCACAGGGAGTACGTTCCAGGACCCCCATACTATCTAGATGCTCTGAACTGCAGATAGTACCGAACGTATATATACTGTGTTTTTCCTATACACGCATCTCTATGATACAGTTTAATTTATGAATTAGGCACAGTAAGAGATTAACAACAATAATAATAAAACAGAAAATTGTAACAATATACTAGAATAAAAGTTTTGTGAATGTGGCCTCCATCTCTCTCTCTTTCTCAAAATATCTTATTGTATGTAATATTTTGGGACCACAGTTGACTGCTGGTAACTGAAACCTTAGATAAGGGGCCACTACTATAGACAAAACAGATCACAGCAGCAAAGAGAGCAAAGCTCTGAAGGCAGAGTTAGAAGCCTGAGGCAAGGGAGGTATGGCAGAGGCCAGGGAAGACTGGCTAAGAGGACTTAGCTGGGATCAGGGTCTCTGGAGGCCCTTCTTCAGGGGTTATTATAGCACTAATGAGAGCTAACATTTCTGAGCATTCAGCATAGGACAGGCACTCTGGTAAATGCCTCCTGTGTGCTGCTTTGTGTAAACCTCGCAGCAAGCCTACGATGCAGGTGTCAGCATTGTGCCCATTGCACAGATGAGGAAACTGAGGCTCAGAGAAATGAAGCAAAGTCCCTGAGAGCAAACATCCCGGGAGAGGAAGTGCCTGATTTTGAAAGGTCTGTCTGACTCAGAGACCCTGCTGTTGCTCACTTCACAGCAACACTGTGGGTGTGTCCTGGCTCTGGAATGGAGGAATGGAGGAATGGAGGGAGAGGGAGAGGCATCAGCTCCTTCACAGGCAAGGAGAGGTCTGAGTTCCCTAGACCTGGGCTGCCCCCGTCACCAGAGCTCTGGGTGTCAGGACAGCAATCATATGCCCCAGACGGCTCAGGCATGGGCCCCCTGGCAGTGTCCTCATGTGTGCAAATTTATGGTTGGGAGAAGGCAGACTCCACGCCATGAAATACCCTCCCTCTCGCGAGGAAGGCAAAGTCCCAGAGCAGGAAATGATGCTTTCGTCCATTCGTGCGCCCTCTGCCTCCTCTCTCCATCTCTCTTCCCCCACACACTCTCACATTTCACTTTGTGGCTGGGAATTGACTGGGCTCCTCATCCTTTATTGACGTGTTTATGTCCGGAACAAGAACACACCAGGACACGGGTTCAGCTCCGGGCACCCCTCGAGCAAGTGCGCCCCCTAGAGGAGAAACTCTCCCTTGTCCTTCAAGCTACTTCCCAGCCTCACCTTTCCCAGGAAAACCAAGCCGGAGGAGAGGCGGTTGTCCACTTTGCCTGAGAACATGCCTTGGAGCATGTGCTGGTCTTCTGAGTTTCTTTTCTAATTTCCGCAGGTTGTCACTTGCATGCCAGAGCTGGAAAAAGCCACAGGCATCTGCTGGTCCTGCAGTTTCAGGACCTGAACATCAGCCTGGCCCCCAGGTGCTTGGAGCCAGCCCTGCTGGGATGCAGCACTTCCAAGCTCACACAGCCATGCCCAGTGGTTCCCAATCCGGGGTAGACATTAGCACCAGCTGAGGTGTTTAAAGTATGCCGAGGCCCTGGATAAAGTATGCTCACCTGGAACCCTGGCACTGGGACTTTTTAATGTGCTGCCCCACCCCTTCTATCCCAGGTGATCCTAGTGAGTAGCCGGGGCTGAGAGCTGCTGGTCCAAGCTGGAAATGCTTGCACAGGAATCACTCAGGGTGCTTATGAAAGAGGACGTTTCCAGATCCAGACTTCAACCCACTGAATCAGAATCTCTGTGGGAGAGGGAGAGGCTGAAGGACTTGCATTTTATTTTATTATTTTTATTTTTGTTTTTTTGAGATGGAGTTTCGCTCTTGTCGCCCAGGCTGGAGTGCAATGGCATGATCTCAGTTTACTGCAAACTCCGGCTCCCAGGTTCAAGCGATTCTCCTGCCTCAGCCTCCTAAGTAGCTGGGATTACAGGCACCCGCCACCACACCCAGCTAATTATTGTATTTTTAGTAGAGACAGGGTTTCACCATGTTGGCCAGGCTGGTCTCGAACTCCTGACTTCAGGTGATTCACCTGCCTTGGCTTCCCAAAGTGCTGGGATTACAGGCATGAACCACCGCGCCCAGCCTGCATTTTAAACCAAAAACCTGAGGTGACGTCGGTGAAGCACTGGGTGACT